GTTTAAAGTCAAACCAAAGTACAATCTAGATAATGCTGTTCCATGTTTCTATGTAAAATTATGCTGTTGATAAGAATGAAGCTATGCTATTAGGCAGTATATAAGTGTTGTTGAAGACATCAGCTTCTGTTGGAAATCTAAGTTGAGGCCCCAAAAAAAAAAGACATGTAATAGAGAAACTTTGAAGAGGGATTGTGTATCACCAGTTGGCTTCTAAGTATCGCACGCGGAACAGTTGAAGACGGTTTTTGAAGTAGAATTCAGTCTACAGTTACAAAATCAGGAGATGAATAACTGGGATCGATGAGCAGTTTTTGCGTAGATGATGTGCAGATGTGCCAGTGAAACGAGTTGTATTTGCGTAAATGATTAAAAAGCTGGGCACTTTACTAGAAAGTGCAACAATAATATGCGTGGACTGTACAACTCGCTGGTCTCTGAAGATCATCTACGTCTCGTCTACGGAACAAAAAGGTTACTAAAGCTTCAAAAAACCATCTAAAAATCGTTCGTTTATAATTGAAGAATTTGTTTTTGAACTGGTCTGGGCAGGAAACGTGCAGGAAGGATGTATACAAGATGGAGACTTGTTCAATAAACTTTTCTGTTGCAAATTTTCTTTTGCCAAGAATTTTTTCTCATTAACTTTTTGCTTTTTGTTTTTTCTTCTTCACTTGTATGGAATTTGGATTTACAGGAACATGCTTACGAATCTAGCCAAAAATATAAGGAAGGGAAATTTATTATTGAGTTAGCACATATGGTCAAAGATAATGGTTGGAACAATCGTGATTACAAGCGAAACAACAGTATTCATTGAGAAACAGGGTTTTTTTTTTTGCTTTTTTACAATGTTCCCCTTATTTTTTTTTTCGCTGCACTGTTTGATACTGTGTGAAAGCTGTATTTGTGTTTTAAGATGTCTGGGGAACTATGTAATTTATTGGAAAGGATAGCTTCGGTTATCAATCCAAAAACAAAATAACAAAACTGGTGAAATAATACGTTGGATTTTTTTTGTTTTTCTTTTTTTTTTTGTTTATATTTTTTTGTACTTATATTTGAATCTTGCTGATGATTATGGGGAAAAATTTATGCGGAATTATGTAGAGCTGTTGATGTTGTTTTTATTTTGATTTGTTATAAATATAATGTGAAAAAAAAAAAAAAAAAAAAAAAAA